GGGATTTGACTCTAGATTGTAACACAGATCAACATCCTTTGATCCTTTGAACTCAAATGTGCACCATAAACTCTTACTTCATCCTTCAACCCACTAGACATTGTCCTATGGATTTTAGACTTCAGCTTCCACAACCACAAGTAGTAGTTAGGTAGGTAGATAAGAAGTGTGTGTGTGTGTGTGTGTGTGTGTGTGTGTGTGTGTGTTGTTGTTGTTGTTGTTGTTGTTGTTGTTGTTGTTGTTGTTACAAAAGTAGATATGTATGTAAGTGAAAGGAAATAGGATAGTAGCTAGGAAAGACCTTTAAGATAGTATTCACTATGCATAGAGGCAAAATGCAACACAAAAACCACTAGAGAGGGATAGATTGGAAATATATAGAAACAGGGTGACTATGAGAGCATGATCTCCTTTAACATCATTTAATCAAGGATGTTGAACATGGATATGATCTAAGTGTGAAATTACCTCCCCCACAAATGCACACAGAAGCTCGTGTGTTTGAATACCTGGTTCCCAGTTTGTGACACTGAAAGGATAAAGAAACCTTAAGTAGGGTCTTGGTGGAGGACAAAGGCCACTGGAGCAAGTTTTGAGGGTTATAGTCTGGCCCTGCTCCCAGCCCAGCTTTACTTTTCCATGTTCATGCCACCATGGACTGAACCAGTTCTCTGTTGTGATGGCTGCCATGATGGCCAATTAACACACTACAGCCTCTGAACTCCAAGCCAAAAGAAATCTCTTCCCCCTCAAGTTGCTTCTCTGCATTGAGAAACTCTATTTAATATAATGTGATACTTCTATTTTTTAGATTTATGTGTGTTATTTGTATGAATGTTTTGTCTGTACACATTTATGTGCACAATGCGTGTGCCTGGTGCCCACGGAAGTAAGAAGAAGGCACGGATCCCTGAAACTAGAGTTACAGACAGTTATGAACCACCATGTAAATGCTGGGAACTGAACTAGGTCCTCCACAGGAGCAACAAGCACTCTTAACAAGTGCCATCTCTCCAGGGCCAGGTATTTCTATTTTTAAGTAGACTTACAGTTCATAAAGGCATACCCATGGTAAATGGGCAATGAAAAGCATAAAGTATGTCAAGCCTCAAATACAAATAAATTAAATGACAAGATAGGATTTTGGTTTGTTTTTTGTTCAGAATGGCCTCAAACTTGCTATGTAGCAAGGATGATCTTGTACCCCTGATTGTCTTGCCTCTATCATTCTAGTGTTGGGATTACATGCAAGTGCCACCAGGCTAGGCTAATTCCAATTATCTGATCCTATTTTCTCTTGTGAGCTATATTCTCTAGTGCTACTGTTCCTCAATATATCTTTCCATAATTAACACACAGGAATAGAAAACTCAATGAAGTTTCCAGAAAACATCTGTTCTATTTCCTAGATTCTCAGAGGGTTTTGAGGGTTTTTTTTTGGGGGGGGGTATTTTGTTTTGTTTGTTTTGTGGAGATGAGTTCTGTGAATATATCAGTGTGATTAATGTATTACAAAGCTTTGTTAATTCCCTGTGCTAGGGATCTAGCCCAAGATGTCAATCATCTCAGACAAGCACATCAACACTAAGCTACATCCTTCAGGGACTTTTATTACCAACAGAAATAGTCATTCCTATTTCTATTAACAATAACTTTGTACAATATTCTCTACCTATGCATTATTCAAATAAGTTTATTACCCAATATCTAGATGATTTAAAGTTTACAATTACACATTTTTAAAGATTTATTCTTATTTTACATATCAATCCCAGTTCCCTCTCCCTCCCACCCTCCCATTCCCCCCACAAACTCCCCCAACCCACCCTCCAACCACTCCCCAAGAAAAGTGATGCCTTCCATGGGGGATCTACAAAGTCTGTCACATCATTTGGGGCAGGGCCTAGGCCCTCCCCCATATATCTGGGCTGAGAGAGTATCCCTCCATTGGGAATAGGCTCCCAAAGCCCATTTATGCACTAGGAATAAATACTGGTTCCACTGTCAGATGTCCCATAGACTGCCCAGGTCTCCTAACTGGCACCCACATTCAGAGGGCTTGGTTTGGTACAATGCTGGTCCTCAGCTTTACTACTGCTCTCACTTGCTCAGGTCAGCTGTTTCTGTGGGTTTCTCAGAAGCAGGCACCCACAGCTAAGCACTGAGCTATCCTCCTGGAATACAGATGTAGAAAGGGAGAAGGGATGAGCAAAGCAGTCAAGACCATGCTGGAGAAAGATTTACTCTTAAATCTAATTTCAGACTTCTTAAAATCTTTTAGAAGGTACACACAGCACACATTATTGTAATTATGACAACACTCAAGCAGGCTCTTAAAGAACTGCAAATGAAAATTTAAATTCTAATTCCAGTTTTTCTCTGTGAATTCTTCTTTCTATAAGGTAAAAACTTTTCTTCTCTTTTTAACATAGGATCTTTTACATAGTTCAGACTGGCTTTAATCCTAAAATCCTCTTGCCTGAGCCTACCAGAGCTGGAATTACAGACAGGTGCTCCCATTCTGGGGGGAAAAATATTTGTTCTGAGAGGGCATGGTTAAGTTCAATTAAATTTGACTCAGTCATTACATAAACTGATTTATTGAAAACCACTTCTTTCCACATTGCTAAAACTTTCCATATTAACAGGAATCAACCAAATCAGTAAAACTAGTATTTATATTCTTCCTGTTACCTCTTCACTAATTCAAAGATTCACAAAGAGCAGTATTTGTCTGTAAGGGCTTATACTCTTAAACACCAAAACCAAAACAAACAAAAAAAACAAAACAAAAACAAAAGCCAAAAAAGGAATATTCTGTCTAAAATAACTGAATTCTTTATTTTCTATTGCATAGGCACTCCTTCCTCACCTACCACATGAAAGACTGTTTAATAACAATCTAACTAAAGCTATTACTGATCTCTTTTCCTATAAGATAACCCACTCCCACCCCAGCGCTTGTTAGTAACTTTTTTCCTTATCCTCATTCTTCTTTCCCCCCATAGCCCCCCACTGTATAGCCCTGGCTCTAACTGTGTGTACCAGGCTGGTCTAAACTCATAGCAAGCCTTCTGCCTCATCTCCCAAGTGCTCGGATTACAGAAATAGCCACCACATCCAGTTTATAGCTATACTCTTGACTTGCCTTTCAAGATCCTTCATAAGTTACTCTTCCTCAAATTTGGTATGGTATTATTGATACTTAACATACACTTTAAATGTCATCACATAGTAGCATCAATTACAAGCAATTCTATGAGACAGACATTATCTGATGATTTTTATAAATAAACACTCCGAGATACTTTATGAGTAAACTGCCCAATCACATAGCCAAAGTAGGATTTGGGGCTGCTTTCGATTTTTTAATGTATATGTGAGAGCCTGCATGTATGCATGTATGTGTTTGTCTATTACCGTTGGTGTCCAGAAGCGGGTGTCAGGTCCCCTGGATTGGAATTGCAGGCAGGTGTGAACTGCCCATTGTAGATTCTGGAACCAAACCCAAGGCCTCTGCAAGAGTAGCAAGTGTTCCTATTGCAGAATCATCTCTACAGCCTCCCTGTTTCGGATTTGTATTTTTTTAGTAGATTCTGCTCTGACTAGCATATACACCTTTCAATGCAGTCTACCTTTTTATTATATTGATTTTACATGTATGAGTGTCTTATCTGCATGTATGCATGTGTACTACATGCATGGCTTCTGCCTGAGGAGGCCAAAAGAGGGCACTGAATCACCTGGAACTGGAGCTACAGATGGTTATAAGCTGCTACAAGGATGCTGGGAACTGAACCTGGGTCCTCTGCAAGAGCAATAAGTGCTTTTAAGCACTAAACCATCTACCCTGCCCCAGTCTACTTTTTTCATAGTAGGTATCTCTTCCACTCAGTTTTGTAGTGTTTTACAACATCTGGAAATACAAAGGACTCAAGAAGCCCCTAAAGAGAATCCGTTAATCACATTAGTATCCCTGTCAGTCCTCCATACACCACCCCATTCATTGAGCTTTAAGGTGGCATCTGTTTTGTGAAGACCACTTATTTTTCAACTACAAATATAAAGGTACATTATAAGATTAAGCAAATGCTTATTCAAACCACACTGATCTCCAAACCCCAGCAGATTCTTACACTTGGGGGTGTTCTCGTCTACAGCATTTCCTGATAATCACTCAAACTATGTTTTATTCATCTAAGAGTCATAATAAATTTCAGAGCGACAATGTAAATTCACTCATAAAATAGGTTTATTGCTGCTTTAATATATCAGACCCTAAATAGGCAAAGAGATAGAAAGAGGCTAGCAGTTCTAAATTCAAAAGTTGCTGTATGAATATTGAAGGCAGTCAAATCAATCAGTGATTCTTTAACATTGTGTATGTGAGGGGGTGATTCAGATGGCTTTTCAAAATTAAAGGAAAATTAACCCACCAGGAAAACAAAGCACACACCAAAGTTTGTATACAATTTTCGGAGAGTTAGAAACTCAATCCTAACCACCATCATCCTCAAACTCGGGTTAAAAGCCCATTAACGAAACTAAGTTCTCCGGGAATAGGAACTGTCACATCTGTTTAATAATCCTGGTTATTCCTTTACAGGACAATGGACACAAATGCTACTTATGAACTAATTCCACCATAACGGTAACTAGTTAACACCAGCAAATCGTTTCTCCCGTTAGGAGCCCTGTTGGCCAAATAATTATTTTAAATCCAAAACTTTTCATTAGTGCCATTAACACAAACAGTTCAAAAATCACTGCTATTCATATGTGGACCACAAGATTACTCACTAATCCCAGTCGCCTCGCTTTACCGGCAAACTCCACATCCCAGGGTCTACACCCAGAGAGAGCCCTACTGGCTGGAAGAAGATGGAAAATAACTAATCATCCTCAAAGCTCGTGCCTTCAAAGCTAGGGAAGGAAGGTCCCAATGACCACTACGGCTTCCAGGCCCTTTCCTCAAAGGTTCTGGAGGTGAAGAAATTTACCTCAAGTTCCGGGAAAGCGGCGGCGATTGCTCTCAGAGCTAAGAGCAGTTACCAAGTAGCCTCCCGACCTTCCTGTCACCATAGTGATTTCTAAGCGCTAAAAGCGTTCACCCTTCCCTGTTCCCGCGATACTTGCGAGATGCCAGTCACCAGGGCGGGCCCTAGACCCCGCCCCTAAATGAGCCCGCCCTCTCACTGAAGGGTGTCATTGGACAGCGGGGCCCCGCCTACAGATGTGGGCGGGTCCCTACTGGATTTTTTTTTTCCTCTTTATCAAAATTCGCCAGTAAATTCCCCAGTTTTCCAAACGCTGTCGTTCCAACAATGCGGAAGGCTGTAGTTTCCACAGCTCTATTTCTACTAACGACCACAGGAAAGGCGTAAGACTCCTCGCGCTCCCTTCTCGGGCGAAACTTCCCCCTCGCGCCACGGTCCCGGGGGAGAGCCCGCGCATGCGCTCGAACGGCCCGAAGATGGCGGTGGGAATCGCCGCACTTTTTTTCAAATTCGCGGGTCCCAGAAACCATTGCGCGCATTTGTAACGAATTTCCGTTCGAGTTTGGATTTTAGGCGCCATTTTCGAGTGAAG